CTCACTTCGTTACCCAGGCATCCGAGCATTAGATAGAACATGAAATGAAAAGGAAACCGGGTTTAACATCCTACTGTGAGGAATTTGTGCCCGGACAGCGGCGCTGCGGCTACACTTATATCAAATTCCAACTGCCAAGAGATCTTTTTACGTGCACGTCAATGTGTACACGGGATGTCGTTTTTTCGCCTCATCCGAACGACTAGACAGCTGTCCTTGTCAGGCCCTCTGTCCTGCACCACGTTTTTTGATGGATTATATATTTTCAATATGTGTAGATTCAGAACCCGGCTGATTCCAAACTACATTAGTGGACTATATTTCCATATCAAAGGTTAAACTGGGGTTTGGATGGCTAAATCTATTTGTTAAGGCCAGCTCAATTTTTGTCAAGGTCACTGAGGTGTTAATAAGGTTAGGGCACGTGATTGTAGGCGAGATTGGAGGGTTAGGGTTAGGGTAAGCATTTGGGCTAGGTCCAGGGTTAGGTTTACATCTCCTGACCTATGAACAAACTTGAAGTTGGCCTTATCAAATAGATGTAACCGGTTTGGATGCCAGACTATACAGGATGTAGACACGATCTACTCTTCACTTACACCAGATATATATATATGTTAGTCAATGTCTACAATCAGGCAATGTGTACAATGCCTTTGTAACTCAAACCCTAACCCCCACCCCAACCCTAACCCTAACCCTAACCCGGCAATGTACACATTGACTGGTATATTTCAGGCATTGTACACATTGCCTGATTATAGACATTGACTGTCACATATACACTTACACGGTGAATTGATACATTTAACACTGGGAGGTTGGACAGGGACCCTACACCTTGTCACTTACTACCTCGGATTTTGGGCGGCACACGTTCGAGTGCCCGAATTTTTCTATTTTTACCCCATAACAAACACCGACTGTGCCGAAACTTCATAATCCAAATTTTCACCTCTGGGTGGCCATACAATGTCCAGTTTTGGATTCTGTGCGGACCGTGAAAATCAAACATATAAATCCGGGTAAAGTTTCAATATTTTGAAAATTATGTTCTTGTATTGCATCTAATTATGGCTATGGTTCCACAAACATTCATTCTTTAGTTTATCAACAAAAACCAGACATTGTACAGGAACCTTACACCAATTACACCATAGAGTTTGGTATTAGAAATAACATTTCACGTCATCATGGCGTAATTATTACGTCAAATCTGGCGACAAAGTACGAAGAAGCGTTTCTGTGTAACGATAGAGGTGTTGTAACGATAAATACAGACCAGGAACAAATTATTTAAATGGATTTAAATTTTCGTATGAAATTTAAAACCGAAAGAGACCACCAATGTTGTTCAAGTTTTACTTTACGTGGATTAATAATACTGTAATTAGTGTTGTTACGCGGTTTGACGTCATGAAAGTAGTGCGTTATAATTACGTCATTTTAATGGTCGACAAGCGGGTAGTAATAGCAGTTTTCAATTGAATCAATTACTGTAAATTACAACAGGAGTATAATATAACATGTATTTCTGATCAAAACAGAAAAGGCTTAGTCATGCCCAAAACCTCCCAAAATATAATAATTTTAGGTTTGGACTCGGATAAGTTGGGGAAAAATTCGTTCTGGTCCAAAATCGTCGGAGCAAATAATTCTTATAGTCATTTCTATATATACAACCTCGTAGGTTTCCTCTGGGTCCTCCTACAGCTAAAGACTACCACGTCCATGGGAATCATCGAAATAAAATTGAATCATATGTTAGTCCCGAAATGTGCTAGTTTTTGTCGAATGGTCATTAATCGATTCCCCGCTTGTACGTGACAAGGAGTAGGCACGCCTGTTCAACTCCGTGGATTTTCTCCGAGTCCCCCGGTTTCCTCCCACTGCTAAAGACCCCTATGCGCAAGCGAATTATTGAATTAAAATTAAACTATATGTTAGTCCCGAAAGGATTTAGTTTGTGTCGTGTGGACGTTAAACCCCCCCATCTCGGGTTTCTTTGGCCGATGAAATACGACAATAAGAAATCGAATTCTGTCCTTTCAAACTTTTAACAAACAAATGAATTCCTGTTCCGTTCAACATCAAACGACGAGTTTTTGTAATGATATTAATAATAATGACTTTATTTTCTTTAGTATATGAGTTTTAATTTTCGGGGTGGGGGCGCGGTTAGATGGCCGAATGGTTAGCGTGTGCGCCTTGTATCATAAGGTCTGTCATTGAGTCATTTGGCGTGGTTTCGATTCCCCGGTTGTACGTGACAAGGTGACAAGGAGTAGGGTCGCCCGTCCAACCTCGTGAGTTTTCTCTCCCACCCCCTCCCACACTGCTAAAGACCCCTACGCGCGAGCGAATTATTGAAATAAAATTGAACCATATGTTAGTCCTGAAATGACCTGATTTGTGTCGAGTGGACGTTAAACTCTCTCTCTCTCATTTTCAACATGTCCCTCCTACTCTATAAAACTAACAACTGCACAGCAACAATATTTACACATATTAACAAAGTGCATATATATCACATTTTTCTATCGATCATTCATAATTCGTTTCGAGTCCGCCAGACTGTTTCATTAGCAATTTTCCCATACCGAAAATTGTCTTGTTTTTTTTAAAGCAGAATTTAAATTTCATCATTAATAATTCGTTTCATGTCGGGGTCATTGACTACCATGCAATGCAGTGAATTGTTTTACAAGTGTTATCAACCGACGTCTTCAAATCACACAAAATATTTTACTATGATGACGTTAATAAATTAAAGGTCAACTCCTTTTTTATCCTATAAAAGACGCGAGTTGAGACAGGTCAAGGCTGGTTCGAGAGCCTTAAAATGTTATGTCAACATTATTTATGACCAGCATGCAATCCTCCTCCATCTTACGGCCCCGCAGACGAGTGGACGAACCTCATAATACACATCCCTAATTCAACAATATCTTCTTAAATAACTCTTTTGTACGGCCCCTATTATAGAATGACGGGGGGAAAGACCCTGATTTACCGTTACTTGATAAGCCCTGGTTAACATTCCTGACCTTGTGACACAGATTAAGTAATAGACGAGACCCAGTTTTTGTCAAAAGGGGCCGAAATATTGTTCAACTGTGTGGCAATCTTGTACAAATAATACGGCTTTAGCTACTTGGCTGGTTTGGAGATGAACTAGGGGTTGATTGAGGGGCTGTGTAGAAGGCTAGATGTCGAAATATAACAAAGGGTTACACATGACCCCTCTCACACTGTCTAGTTCAATAACTCACTGCTGCACCCCCTTGTCAGTGGTATAGGACATAGGGTCTGGTAAGGGACGATGTATAGTAGTTTGGACGGGACGAAAAAAACGAGATGCCGTGTACACAACAATATTTGGTTAATGCTGACAGTTACAGTCAATCAGTAATAAGCAGAAGTGTGACCTTATTAAAAAATCTTTGAATTCAGTAATAAACATGATTTCATTGACTCGATGCTTTTGTGTCCGATTTTCATTTGGTGAGTTTGGTGTAAGACGGTGGCCTAGTCATTCGAACAGGACGAGAAATGTACAATTGACAGCAAATTAAAGATCCACTGCCTGTAGACCTTCATCGCACATTGCGAGAGAGATGGGGTTTAACGTCCACTCGACACAGACTAGGTCATTTCGAGACAAACATATGGTTTAGTTTTTTCCATAATTAGCCCAGTCGGAGCTGAAGAGTTGGACGTTAAAACCCATGTCCTATTGCTTGTCGGGGGGTTGGATGGCTGAATGGTTAGCACGTGCGCGCTGTACCATAAAGTCTGTCATTGAGTCAACTGACGTGGTTTCGAATACCCGGTTGTACGTGGCAAGGAGTAGGGTCGCCTGTCCAACCTCGTGGGTTTTCTCCGGGTCCTCCTACTGCTAAAGACCCCTACGCGCAAGCGAATTATTGAAATAAAATTAAACCATATGTTAGTCCCGAAATGACCTAGTTTGTGTCGAGTGGACGTTAAACCCCATTTCTCTCTCTCCCTATTGCTTGTCGGACGTGTTCTTTATTCACCAATCCTGTGCCATTAGGTCAAAGGTCGTGGGGTTAACGATTTAAATGGTCTTTATATTTGGTTCAGAAGTCAACATAAAGTTGAATGGACCCCTTTTCATCGACAGAATGCCTACTGTATTTTAGGAAAAAGGGTTTTGATTCACGATAAAAAAGAAATCTCGAGTGGTTAGGGTTAGGCAATATTTCATCCTATAAATCATGTCGAGACCTCTAGACCGACCCCTATTATAGCCATTGTTGTGTAAATGCAGACCCTTTCCAGTCACGTATAATAGAAATGTGTTTTTTCATAAATAGCTAAAGATCCAGATGAAGGTCAAGATATGGTTTAACATTCTATAATTCTTCGCCATTTAATCGGAAGATAGCCAGAAATCACCCTACGATCTATAATTCGGCACAAAGAGGACTAACTACTCTACTTCCAGAATAGATTGCAGGACAGTGGTACAGGATGGAGGAACTGGCAAGGATAGCTGTCTAGTCGTTTGGATGGGACGAAAAACCTAGGTCCCGTGTATATATTGGCTTGCAAGTAAACTGACTGAAAATTGACCCTTCCCATCTACATGTAGGTAGACAGTACCCCTTCCCATCTGAGTTACTGTAACAGTACCCCTTCCCTTCTGTGTGAACAGTGCCAATTCCTATAGTATCTGAGTTAATAGTCCGCCGTCCAATCTAAGTAACTGTAACAGTCCCTGTCCCATCTGAGTTAACAGTACCCCTTCACATCCGAGTAGACAGTACCCCTTCCCATCTGAGTGAACAGTCCCCCTTCCCATCTGAGTGGACAGTATCCCTTCCCATCTGAGTGGACAGTACCCCTCCCCATCTGAGTAGACAGTACATGTACCTCTTCCCATCTGAGTGGACATAACTTCTCACCATAGAAGACAGTATTTTAATTTGTACTTGGAGGAAACAAACAATATATTCTTTCTGATCATGTATGTCTTTATGTATTTATATAACAAAATATTTACTTCAATAATTTAACAGTATTATTTACAACCTGTACATAAAACATCTTTAGATCATCCTACACAAACATTTATTTTATTCATTCTTCTTTATGCTTCATTCACCCATTCCATACTTTCATTTTATTCATTTCATTTTGTATATTCAATCATTCATTTCATATGCTTCATTCAATCATTCATTATATTTTGTATAATGTATCATTTATTCATTATGTATATATCATTCATGCAGACCATTGTGTTTGCTTCATTCATTCATGTACACCATTTTGTATGCTTCATTCATTCATGCACACTATTGTGTATGCTTCATTCATTCATGCACACCATTTTGTATGCTTCATTCATCCATGCACACCATTTTGTATGCTTCATTCATTCATGCACACACTTTCACTATCCTTTCATGCTCACCACAAAAAAAAGCACTAACCCCATCCATACATATTCACCACAATAAAAGCACTAGCCCCATCCATCCATGCTGACAACAATCAAGGCACTAGCCCCATCCATCCATGTTCACCAGAATAAAGGCACTAGTTAGAAGGCAGCAGCAATATTACACAGATAGGTTTTATTCTGTTTCTGTCTGATTCCTACTTTCACTTCTTGTACTAATTCCTGCTTTCACTTCCTATAGAAGGAGTTTTTAATTTCTACTTTCGCTTCCAGTACTAGGAGTTTTTAATTCCTACTTTCACTTCTTGTATTATGAGTTTTTAATTCCTACTTTCACTTTCGGTACTACATGTCTTATTAATTCCTATTTTTACTTCCTTTATTATGAGTTTTTAATTCCTATTTTCACTTCCAGTATTACATGTCTTATTAATTCCTACTTTCACTTCCTTTAATATGAGTATTTAATTCCTATTTCTTGTATTATACGAATTATTAATTCCTACTTTCAGCTATGCACACCATTTTGTATGCTTCATTCATTCATGCACACCATTTTTTTTTGCTGTCTTTTCTTCATTCAATTTTCATATCATATTTTAACACTTTTACCATCCATTAAAACAACCTAGGATAGGGGTCTATTATGGCTGACAGGGGAATACCTCACCACTTTTCAAATGGCCTCTTCCCTCCCCATTTTGAAAAGTGGCCCCACCACCACTCTTTTCAGCCATCAGCTAACATTTGCTCTACGTGTTCGGCATGCACCTGTTCATCCAAGTCTACTTCTTCTGCATGCACCTGGTCATCCAAGTCTAATTCCAGTTCCTGTTGTTCATCTTCAATGATTTCATGACCTTGAGATATAATAGCCTGTGTGTTGACGGCATCCGTCACTGCGACAACCTGACCGTCTGTGACTGTTATATCTTCCTCGCCCATTTGTTCTTCCATTAACTGTATTCCTTCATCATCAGCTGAAAATAATAAAATATTATCTCATAAAGGTCAGAAAATAAAAATGGGTTTTAAAGTCTTAAACATACTGTATGCAAGAACTAAATCTGCCTATTGTAGGTCTTTCTTTAGGCCTTAGATGTTAAATAAATTATTAATTAGACATTTATTCACATGACAAGACCATAATCAACTCTCGATGCCATCGGATGTTCTTGATTTTCAATGGAACAATGGTAGGAATGACAATTGAGATTCAGTTATTCTCCAAGAATAAAGTAATTTGAAATGTTCAACATATACCCTTTTTATACCTATTTTTTAACTATTATAGCAAGAACTGTCAGCTCTTTATCTAAATCTTACATAATGTATCTTTAAGTTTTCTTCACCGACTTGGCTAATGAAGACAGGCATACGCCATACAGTGTGCTATGAGGGAAATTATGCCAGGACACCGGCACCACGGCCTACTCTGACATCGAATTCCAATTGTCAAAGGTTTTTATTAACATGCTTTCAAAGTTGAACTATATGACCCCTTGCAAACCAGTCGAACATGTATGGACACAGGATTCATGGACAAGAAAATATTTTTAAACTTTCCAGATTATAATAATGTGGTATTCATAAAGAAATGAAGAAAAAAAAACCTAACAAAATTCCTTCTTAACATTTACAAAAAGCAGAGAGAAATGGGGTTTAACGTCCACTCGACACAAACTAGGTCATTTCGGGACTAACATATGGTTTAATTTTATTTCAATAATTCGCTTGCGTGTAGGGGTCTTTAGCAGTGGGAGGAAACCGGATTACCCAGAGAAAACCCACTAGGTTGGACAGGCGACCCTACTCCTTGTCACGTAAAACCGGGGATTCGAAACTACACCAGTTGACTCAATGACAGGCTTTATGATACAGCACGAGCGTGCTAACCATTCGGCCACCCAACCCCCCTTACAAAAAACAACATTCCAAAGACCTTAATATGTAGTTTTGCTGAACATCCAATTATTTCCATGGTTTAATTTTAATTTACAAAAGAGCTTTTCAAGACTTGACAGATCTGTGTTATAGAAGTATAGTCGTATCAATTAAACTAAATATTGACATTAATAACAATAGATCATCTGTCTGGACAATAAAGTCAAGTTCAAAAAACTGTCTGGACGGTAGTGGACAATACAATAGTCAACAAGTCAGCACACACAGTCTACAAATGTATTCAAAAAAACAAGAAGCTTACAGAGAACATAATAACAGAGACTTGCAGAAACCAAAAAACCTCAGTCAATTAGTCGACTCAATTCTATGGAACAATTCAAACAGGTAAATAAAATGACACAAGGCCAACAAAAAAAAAAAATCAATTTTATAAAAAACAAAATGGCACTAAGTCAAATCCCTTGACAAACTATATAAAACCTATATTTGTATTAATATTAATAATATTTTATTTGCTACATTATCAAGAAAATATTTTTGTCAAATATCATTTTAATAAAACTGTCGAAATTCGAACAATAGAATTAAAAAAACAGCAGATCTTCTATGACACTTGAAACATGCATATATAAACTTTTACCCCTGCCGTTTATTTGATTTTCACTACATAAAATTCATTCACCATGGCAGAAAAAATAAACATATATCATAAAAAGGGCAACAAATGGAACAAAGGGATGAGAAAAAAGAACCTGTATTGAGGGATTTTGTGGTTGTATTTGATGAGTATATGACAAGTGTCATATGTTATATTTACACCTGTGTATTGTCATGGAGGGATTCTACCTGTATTTACCTGTAGTATATAAACAATGTGTTGAAATGTACAACATTGTTGTAGTATATAGTAACAATGTCTATAGAAGACAATGCTTTAATAACAATCTCCCCACATCCTCTGGATAGGTGAGGAGACGGCAACATGAGCTTTTTGTTACCTGGATTTCTACGATTCATAATTACATTGATACAAGGTATTTTGATAACTGAAGGAAACCCGACAGAAAAAAAAAACTACCTGGAGGAAACAATAAAAGTGTGATGGGTGTACATGTATTGTTTGTGAGTGAGAAAATATTTGTTTTGTTTGATTTCGAACTGGACACTACCACGACTGGGTGGTCAGACTAATAATAATGTCTATACTATCACTTGCCCCCGAGGGCAAACTTTTATTCAAAAAGATAATTTTCTAATTTATGGTTTGGAGTGAAAATGGTGTAGAAAGGTAAAGGTGTTTAAAAAGACATTCAAGAGATTGTCGTAGATTTATAGTTCATCTTTTAATAAATATTTGAGATAAAATCTTTTTTTTCTTAAATCAATATAAATTGTGTAGGGTTGATAAAAAGTTTTGATATAAAGTATAAAGTAGATAAGAAGTATTAAATTACTCCAGTCATAAAGAGACATATTTCCATATATGATTTATTACACAAAACATATAATCTACCTTAAAGAAAAGAAATGAAATGGGGTTTAACTCCTACTCTGACTGGGCTAATGAAGAAATGAAATGGGAGAGACTAACATATGGTTTTTAATTTTATTTCAATCATTTGCTTGCGCATAGGGGTCTTTAGCAGTGGGAGGAAACCAGAGGACCCGGAGAAAACTCACGAGGTTGGACAGGCGACCCTACTCCTTGTCACTTACAACTGGGGAATCGAAACCCCGCCAGTTGACTCAATGACAGACCGTATGATACAGCGCGAGCGTGCTAACCATACGGCCATCCAACCCCCCTTACAAAAAGCAACATTCCAAAGACCTTAATATGTAGTTTTGCTGAACATCCAATTATTTCCATGGTTTAATTTTAATTTACAAAAGAGCTTTTCAAGACTTGACAGATCTGTGTGATAGAAGTACAGTCGTATCGATTAAACTAATTAGCGTGCATGCTAACCATTCGGCTATCCACCCCCCACCCCCCCACCCCGGAAATGAAATGGGGTTTAACTCCTACTCCGACTGGCCTAATGAAGAAATGAAATGAAATGAAATTAGGCTTAACGTCCTGAGTACGCCATGCAGTGTGCTATGAGTTAAATTTTACCTGTGGTCCTTGGTGCCATTATAATTTATTACACAAAGCATATAATCTACACTAAAGTAATGAAATGAAATATGGTTTAACGTTCTGCTCCTACTAGGCTAATGAAGACAGGCATATGTCATGCAGTGTGCTATGCGGGAAACTTTACCCACGGTTCTTGGTAATTGTATGATTATACAAGGCCAATAATAAAAGATCAATGATCACAAAAATACATTTATTTAAAGAAAAGAGAGAGAGAGAAATGGGGTTTAACGTTCACGCAATACAAACTAGGTCATTTCGGGACTAACATATGGTTCAATTTCATTTCAATAACTCACTTGCACGTAGGGTTTTTAGCAGTGGGAGGAAACCGGAGGACTGAGAGAAAACACATGAGGTTTGACAGGTGACCCTACTCCTTGTCAAATACAACCGGGGAATCGAAACCAGTTGACCCAATAACAGACCTTATGATACAGCACGCACACGCTAACCATTTGACCATCCCCCCACCCCCAGAAAGAAAAGAAATAAAATTGGGTTTAACGTCCAACTGTTCTGCACTGACTGGGCTAACGAAGACGGTCATACACCAGACAGTGTGCTATGATGGAAACTTTGCCTGTGAACCTTGGTATGATTATACAAGGCCAAAAATAAAAGGTCAGTGATCACAAAAACACATTAATTTAAAAGAAAAGATTATAAATTGTTCATAAAGGATGCAGGTAACTATAGATACAGGTAATGTTCACACCTCCCCATCTTCAGGTAACACATCATTATCTGATACCCTAACCTCATACACAAACATCAGTGTAAAACAGAGAGAAATTCAGCTGAACATACACCTTGTCAATTCAAGTACAAAACATGGGACCATACCCATGACTTGCATAGGGCACACACTGGTTAAACAACGCCATCACCCAATGACCCAGTCGACCAGACATCAATAAATCACAGACTACAGATTACATAACAACTGAATAACAAAGGAAAACCATAGAACAACATCGTCTAAACCATTAACAAATAATCGCGACATCCACAACAACCCTCATCTCTAGATTATCAACGTCAGTATTGAACAAGATGGCTAGCGTGCTGTTTGATTGTGTGAAATGTTTTCAACAGGATTAAGAGTTAAATAACAGCGAAGACTCTTGCACCATGTTATTGTCTCTTGAATGAAGAAAGGGGTTTAGGGAGTTTTGATTATTTGACAATAAATAATGACCCCTCTTTGTTGTAAAACCCTACGATTGTGTGAAAAGCCAATAGAACATGAAAATATTCAATCCAGAAAACTTTTATCAAAGTTAAGAATCTTGGGAACTGGATTGTAGAAAATTCCTCAGGCCTATTGTTAACATGTGTTCATACAAACTATTAAATTTACGGACATGCATGATTAACAGCACATATAAATTAATCGTCATAATTTACAAACTTGCACAATTAATAGTAAATATAAATTAATCGTCATAATTTACTAACATGCTCGCTTAATAGTAAATATAAATTAATCGTCATAATTTACTAACATGCACAATTAATAGTAAATAATATAAATTAATCATCATACTGCTACTTGTGTTTTGTATATTATTAAGTGAACATATTGTAATTGTATTATAATTAAAAATAAGGAGATAAATTAATATAAGCCTTTGGCATGTTTTTGAATCCTTACTTTTTGAGAATGTGTGAATCTTATCTGACTAAATAATGTTTTAAATCAATGAGATCATACAATTAATTATTAGGACATCATTTAATTATTACGAATTTTATTTCACTAATACGCCTGTGCGTATAGGTCTTCAGCAGTGGGAGAAAACCGGAGGACCAAAAGAAAACCCACGAGGTTGGATAAGCGATCCTACTCCTTGTCACTTACATGCTAGGAATCAAAACCACACCACTTGAGTCAATGACAGACCTTATGATCAAATGCACATGCGTTAAACCACTAAACCACCCAACCCCTTTTAGGTAGCATCATTAGGTCTGTCATTGAGTCAACTGACATGGTTTCGATCCCTGTCTGTATGTATGACAAGGAGTAGGGTCGCCTGCCCAACCTCATGAATTTTCTCCAGGTCCCAAGGTTTCATCCCACTGCTAAAAACCCCTACGAGCAAGCGAATTAATAAAATATAATTGAACCATGTTAGTCCTGAAATGACCTAGTTTGTGTCAAGTAGACATACAGGATATTTAAATAGGTCAACTGAGTACCACTGTGTTAGCTGTTTGGTTTGTAGTGCGATACATGTATAATGAGTGTAAAATACAGTACAGGGGACATCACTCTTGTCAATAAATAGGTTGAAACACACCCAGAATGTCTAGAGCCATGATTATATGAGTCATCTCAGTCTGTCAAGCTGTATATTACAAGCCTTGCTGTAGTTTCACAAACTAAAATACTTGGGTGCCTTTAAATAAATTAGGTTTAAAGTAAAATGGGGTTTAACGTCCTCCTGTTCTGCTCCGAACTGGGCTAATGAAGACGGGCATACGCTACACAGTGTGTTATGAGGGACATTACCCACTTAACCACTGTGACGCCCAAATCAGGTTGTAAAGTGAAATAAGGTTTAAGATCCTAGTTTTTCAGGACCATCCCAGCTAATGAAGACAGATATATACTATGAACTATGCCATACTATGAACTATGCCATGCTATAAACTATGCCATACTATGAACTATGCCATACTTGGGTGCCTTTAAATAAATCTGATTATAAAGGTAAATGGAGCTTAAAATCCAGGCTAATGAAGACAGGTATATATATATACACAATCTGATTAAAACACAGATTCTGTTTCGTTTTGTTTTTTTTTTATATTTCAAAATTTCATTTTACTTGTCTTTACTACACTGGGATCTAGAAGAGTTGTTATATAACCCGCATTTTGGTTGAGGTGAGGGATTAGCCAATGAAACAGTCTGTTATGGCGAGCTTTAGGGGCGGGATGCACGAAACTATGGGTAATCCACTAGTAACATCAATGCTATTTGGTTAATCAAATGTCGGACGTCATAAGTTCAAAAGCCGCTCCTATGACCTCTGACGCGCCGTATCGCTACAACCGGTCAGATCTTCATGTAGTGTAGGCCATCGAAAGTATGAATGAACGAAAAGAAGTATAGATCTGAATTTTAATTATTACCATGCTTGATAAACCATCAAGTATCTACCAACTGACATATAACAGAAATAAATTAGATCATGTGACAGCTATGCATCATTGTTGTCTATGTATTAAACATACATTATAGGAGATTAGATAAAGAGCTGGCAGTTCTCACTATAATAATCAAAAACTAGATAATGTAAATGTAAAGGGAATTTGCTGAAAATTTCAATGAAATTGATCCACTCTAAACCGAGATTTTCACATTGAATTGTTGGTCTAGTCTCAATCATCATTACTAAGGTCGGTACGATAAAAATCATAGTCTCAATTATCCATTTCATGATTAAATCATGAATGAAAGTTGAGCAGCAAATGGGATCCTAATCGAGTAAATATTGCAGGCTAGCGATGACATCAAAAGCTGATTATGGTCTGGATAAGTTAATTAATGTCTAATTAATAATTTATATAACATTTCAGGCCTAAAGAAAGACCTGCAATAGGCAGATTTAGCTCTTGCATAATGTATATTTAAGGGAGGATTGAAAACAAAGAATAGCAATGTCCATATTTTTTTTTTTTTTTTTAACAAGAAATTCTAGAGGATAAAATCTGCTTAAGAAAAGTGTGAGTAGAAAGTCAAATGTAGAAATTCATGTAATTTGGATTCTAACGATTCAACCACTGAAATTTCACTTTTAGACAAGAATTTTTTGGGTTACTTTTGATTTTCTAATTTTGATTTTAGATTGCATTTTGAACCTGATAATAATAATTGCTCTTATTAGTGCTGGGTACTGCTACTGCAGTCACGATATGACACGTATTGCTGCGATTCAGGTGCTACGATACGATACGATTCGTATCACGATTCATAACCCGGTCAATATTTACCAAGTCCTGCCAATATTGAAGATATAAAACTGTTTTTCACGATATTGATATGGATCAAAACAATTTAAGAGTGTGTACCTATGGATAATGCCTTACATTGATCATTAAGAGTGACAGGTTACTTACTGATGAGACAAAAAACAACATAAAAATGAATCGTGAAAAATTAATTCAGCATGAATACTAATTCTTACCTGCTAAAACTTGTTCAAATGTAATATTAACGGCTCCGTCACCATCTACAGATATTTCCTGCCCGTCTATGGTGATATGTTGACCATCAACAGATAATGTAGAAGGTATTTGTATCATGGCTTGACTGGTACCACCATCTGATGTAGCTATAGCCAGTGCTTGTTCTATTACACCTCCACAACTTGTCTTCTGATGTTCCTGATAATATAATAAATCAATACAGTCAGATTTCTGATAATATAATAAATTAATATGGTCAGATGTCTCATGTTGCCAGTAGCAGATTATCAGTGAGGCTGATGAGGCTGCAGCCTCAGGTCTAAAATTTTTTTAGACTTGTCTGATACGATTAAAAACGCATAGACAATGAATGTTAGGCGGTTGGGTTTAGGCCCAACAGGAATCAACATAGGCCCTGATCCGAAATTAATTAGGCCCACACCATTTTAAATAGGCCCTATTTAAAAACTAAATAGGCCCTCCAGCAACTGCCGCCTCAGGCCTTGGTGAAGCTTAATCCGCCACTGCATGTTGCTGACAATATAATAGATCAATACAGTCAGATGTCTCATGTTCCTGATAATATATCAATACAGTCAGATGTATCATGTTCCTGATAATATATCAATACAGTCACATGTCTCATGTTGCTGACAATATAATAGATCAATACAGTCAGATGTCTCATGTTCCTGATAATATATCAATACAGTCACATGTCTCATAATATAATAAATTAATATGGTCAGATGTCTCGTGTTGCTGACAATATAATAGATCAATACAGTCAGATGTCTCAATCAATACAGTCAGATGTATCATGTTCCTGATAATATATCAATACAGTCACATGTCTCATGTTGCTGACAATATAATAAATCAATACAGTCAGATGTCTCATGTTCCTATTATGTGACGTAGTTTCAATTCTCCACTTTTACTTGGCAAGAAGTAGGGCCGTCTGTCCAACCTTGTGGGGGGATGGGGTTGGCGGTGTTTGGATGGCCGCATGGCTAGCATGTGTGCGGGTCTGGCATTGAGTCAACTGGCTTGGTTTTGATTCCCTGGTTGTACATGACAAGGAGTTGGGTTGGTTGCCTGTCCAACCTTATGGGTTTTCTCCCACTGCTAAAGCCCCCTACGCGCAAGCATATTTTTGAAGTAAAATTGAACCATATGTTAGTCCCTCTAACCGTTTGAAATCACAATCAAATTTCCAAGGGAAAAATCTTTTACAGTATTAGAATTTATATACAGGTCAAAATTCTATATGAAATACAATTACGGCTGCAAAAAGTTTAGAAAAACCTAGTCAAAACGTTGCTTGATAATAAATAGTTATTACTTGATAAACACTAGAGAAGCCTAGTAAAAAAACATCGCTTAGTAATGAACAGTAATTGTTTGATAATGACTAGAGAAGCCTAGTCAAATCTTCGCTTGATAGAGTTTAGTGGGAATGTCGCTCAGTAATAAGCAGAAATTACTTGATAAAGTCTAGTCGAAACGTTGCTCAGTAATAAGCAGTAATTGTATTCCATAGAATTGTCACCTGTTTATTCCAGTTCAATTACTAAATACCATTGAAACAAAGTCTTACCTGTAATATTATTTCTTATGGTTGTATACGTATAACTTATCTGTAATATTATTTCTTATGGTTGTATATATACATATAACTTACCCGTAATATTATTTCTGTTTTAAAGGCCATACCACATCTATCACAGACTAGACTCTTCATATCACCATGTTTACGTTCTATATGTTTACGTATATCTGTAAACGTGTAACCATAGAAACCACAGACACCACATTTATAATCTTTCTGACCATTATGTCTAAAATAACAACAGCCATGTCTTATTTCTCATCAACGCTTCTGTTTATTGTCTCTTTGAGGCAAGACATTGGTGGCATGGGAATTATGAAATGAAATGAAATGGGGTTTAATGTCCTACTGTTCTGCTCCTAAACTGGGCTAATGAAGACGGGCATACGCCATGCAGTGTGCTATGAGGGAAATTTTGCCCGGGCAGCGGCACTACGGCCTACTCTTATATCGAATTCCAACTGCCAAGGGATCTTTTATGTGCACGCCAATGTGTACACGGGACCTCGGTTTTTCGTCCCATCCGAACGACTAGACAGTTGTCCTTGTCAGGCCCTCCGTCCTGCATCACTGACAAGGGGAAACCACGCGGGAAAATCTGGATGAACTTTCTCGGCCAATGCAGGGATCGAACACCCGAACTCCAGGCTAGCGAGCCAGCATCTTACCCACTTAGCCACGTGGGAATTATGTGGGTAAACGGTTTAATGCATGCATGTTAGATCATATAGTCTGTTGGTTAGTCAAGTGATAAGGTTTCGAACCAAAGCATTGACATGACAAGAAGTAAGGCCACCTGCCAAACCTTGTGGGTTTTCTCTGTGTCCTCCAGTTTCCTCTCACTGCTAAAGAGCTTAGCATGTTTTCTTATTGCTTTCACTGCAGTTTATAGACCGGACACTAGAGTTCATAGACAGGCCACTAGTTTTATAGACAGAAGTGTTATTATTAACCTACCTCTTGACATGTAATTCTTTATTTTTAATATGTCTAAAAGCTTTGTTACACACTTCACAGACATGTTTTGGTTCTTCATGAATTAACAAATGTTTGGATATATCTGATCTTTCACAGCCCCTGTAAAATATAACAAAACAATATCATTAATAACAGCCCCTGTAAAAGATTACACGACAATATCATGAACAACAGCCCCTGTAAAATATTACCAGACAATAGCATGGACAACAGCCACTGTAAAATATTACTACAGAAGATACATGTATCTCTTTGTATCTCTTTAAAAACAGGTACAGCCTCTTCTACAGCAACAGATAGATTTCGCTTTAAGCTGGACCTGTATTAAATATACCCCACCTGCAATCACATGTAATAATTATACCCCACCAGTGGTCACATGTATCAAATATACCCTACCTGTAATTACATGTATTAATTATACCCCACCAGTGGTCAGATGTATCAAATATACCCTACCTGTAATTAAATGTATTAATTATACCCTACCACAGTGGTCACATGTATCAAATATACCCTACCTGTAATTACATGTATTAAAAATACCCTACCGGTGGTCACATGTATTAAAGATAGGTTGCCAGGCAACGAAACATACGCCCACAGCAACTAAATCGTCCGGGCAGTCAACAAGGGTTGTCGCATATTTTTACTTTTTTCGGTAATGAAACATTTATAATACACTAAAATTTGATTAAGAGCAAGAACTCACGAAGTAATTATCAGAAAACTATTAGAATTTGTTTGGTTTTTATAAAGTTCTGCCCCATGCTAACGTTTTGTATGCAAAGCTTTTAATATCATAGATTTAACTGTTCAATATACTTGTTCGTCTCAAGATCTTAAACTCTGTGTATCAATCTGAAGTCAATCGGATGATAACTTAAGGGCCATAACTTTGGCAGTAATTATCGGAAATCGTTGAAAATCAATAGGAATCTTCGTCTCATGACCTCAAACACTGTGTATAAGTTTAAACTCAATCGGATATTAACTTGAGCCTCAAGAGCATCCACAAGATTTTTTGAAGTAATCAAGGGCCATAACTCTGGCAGTAATTATCGGAAATCGCTGAAAATCAATAGGCTTCTTCGTCTCAAGACCTTAAACACTGTGTATAAATTTAAAGTCAATCAGATATTAACTTTAGCCTCTAGAGCGTCCACAAGCAATTGTGGACGCCGGACCGACGGACGGAGGGGGGCGACGACAATATACGACCACATTTCAATGTGGGCGTATAAAAATACCACACCTGTAGTCACATGTATTAAATATACCCTACCTGTAATCACCTGTATTAAATATACCCTAACTGTGATTACATGTATTACATATACCCTACCTGTAACCACATGTATTAAATGTACCCTACCTGTAATCACCTGTATTAAATATACCCTACCTGTATTCACATTTATTTAATATACCCCACCTCTCACCTGTATTAAATAAACCCTACCTGTAATTACATGTATTAAATATACCCCACCAGTAATTACATGTATCAAATATACCCCACCAGTAATCACCTGTATCAAATATATCCTACCTGTAATCACCTGTATTAAATATATCCTACATGTAATTACATGTAATATATCCTACCTGTAATCACATGTATTATAAATATACCCTACCTGTATTCACCTGTATTTAATATACCCTACCTGTATTCACCTGTATTTAATATACCCTACCTGTAATCAGCTGTATTAAATATACCCTACCTGTAATTACATGTATTAAATATACCCTACCTGTAATCACAATGAGGACATTTAAATGGCTTTTCTGGATCATGGATACGAAGATGTCTTTTTAAATGGGCTTTCCGAGTAAATTTCTTTAGACATATATTACACTCAAATAGAACCTCGGCTGGCATGTGAACCATTTTTACGTGCATCTTTAAAATATACTGATCCTGAAACATACAAATAACAGACACTGTAAAGTTGATATCGTTGACTTAGCAAAAAATAACTTTTATAATATTAGCCACCAATAGATCAAAGTCGACATTTTATATACATAATGTTCATTAATTAGTTAAAATTGTCAATAATCAGGTCATTAAGTATATGCTATATCACTAATAGTAAGTGCAGGGGAACTGTACCACACATAATTTACATAAAAAGGAAATACATAGACAAGACATCATACTCAGAAACCGCAAATGAACAGACATCATACCACTGTCAATACATTCTAGGAAGCATCACTCCACCCTACTAACAGATCTTGTACAAGTTGGTGTTGTCATGAGTTTGACAAATGGTCAGTACATTCTAGGAAGCGATGCTCTACCCTCCTAACAGATCTTGTAGAAGTGGGTGTTGTCATGTGTTTGACAAATGGTCAGTACATTCTAGGAAGCGATGCTCTACCCTCCTAACAGATCTTGTAGAAGTGGGTGTTGTCATGTGTTTGACAAACTGTCAGTACATTCTAGGAAGCATCACCCTACCCTACTAACAGACCTTTTTATCGTGCAGCACGTTTAGGACACAGGTTATTTTTACCCTAAAGAGAGAGAGAGAAATGGGGTTTAACGTCCACGTGACACAAACTAGGTCATTTCGGGACCAACATATGGTTTAATTTTATTTCAATAATTTGCTTGCGCGTAGGGGTCTTTAGCAGTGGGAAGAAACCGGAGGACCCAGAGAAAACCCACGAGGTTGTACAGGCAACCCTACTCCTTGTCACGTACAACCGGGGATTTGAAACCACGCCAGTTGACTCAATGACAGGCTTTATGATACAGCACGCACGTGCTAACCATTCGGCCATCCAACCCCCATTTTACCCTAAACAATAGAGGTTTTAAAGGGCAGGAAATCTACCCAATAGTACCCAATAGTAATTAAATACTACCGAATACCACCACATTATTTTATAAATACAGAAGAGAGTTCATTTGTGGAAAATTTGCAGAAAAAAATGGCCTGTAACGTAGGTGCACTGCTGTCAACTTACCTTGTAAACTTTACCACAGATATTACAGCTACATCCCTGATTGTTGTGACGAACCATGTGACGTTTTATAACATACGCATGCTCTGCCATAAACTCACAAATATTACAAATACATCGTGGATGACTTTCCTGTAATAAACAAGATAAAATATTACAAATACATCGGGGATGACGTTCCTGTAATAAACAAGATAAGATATTACAAATACGTCGGGGATGACGTTCCTGTAATAAACAAGATAAGATATTACAAATACATCGGGGATGACATTCTTGTAACAAACAAAAACAAAATATTATATATAGATTCTAAATATAATGAAATATAATTCAACACAAAAAAAAGATATTTCTTACTGGCTTGATTCTTTTTGCGCCAAATCTGTATTTTGGTTATTGGGGAAGACCTGGTCTGGTGATTACATTTGATTTTGAGGTGGCAAGGCAATTACATTTGTTGGGGGGCGGGGGGGAATTACATTATTTGAGGATGGTATGGAGATTGAAATGAAATGAAATGAAATGGGGTTTAACGTCCTACTGTTCTGCTCCTAACCTGGGCTAATGCAGACGGTTATACGCCATACAGTGTGCTATGAGGGAAATTTTGCCCGGACAGCGGCACTACGGCCTGCTCTTATATCGAATTCCAACTGCCAAGGGATCTTTTACGTGCTCGCCAATGTGTACACGGGACCTCGGTTTTTCGTCCCATCCGAACGACTAGACAGCTTTCCTTGTCAGCCCCTACGGGTATGGAGATTACATTAGATGACATGTGGTATAGTGAATAACAAGCATCAAAATGTGGCATTGTGAATGCATTCACTAAAATGTGGCATAGTGATTATATTCATTTAAACATGGCACTATGATTACATTCATCAAAATGTGGCATAGTGATTACATTCATCAAAATGTAGCATAGTGATTACATTCATCAAAATGTGGCATAGTGATTGCATTACATTCATCAAACTGTGTCACTGAGATTACATTCATCAAACGTTAAACCCCATTTCATTTCATTTATATTCATCAAAATGAGGTATTGTGATTACATGACTCAGATGGGATAACACTGAGGTTTCGTACACATTGACATGGAAGGAAAAGAACCTTCATAGGAGAATGCAATGTATTTGCCCTCTTCTATTACCCTGGTTCGGTGCATGGTTTCATCAGTGAATAAACTTGACAATTTATAATTATAATTTATACAGCACAGAGCCTGACCTTTAAAAGTGCATACAGACATTAACCTTTGACCCTAATTTAGGTAAACCTCATAAACATAATTAATAACTGAGCATTGTATATATTTATAATAGTAACAATGTTGTGACTAGTCAGCTGTTTGTGAATATTCTATAATAATACATTATTTAAATTGAGAACATGAGAATGTCAAGGATAGAAATGTCAATCTATATAATCTGACGATCTTTTAAATATGATAGGAATGGCAACAATGTGTTCAATTATAACCCTGACAGTTCATATCCTGATAAATATACATATTCTCAAGTTGTTTCAACATTGCGTAATTTATGATAGCATTTATGATAGCGTGGGAGTAAGAAAGATGCAGCCCATCTCCAGTTATTATATATTTTACATTCATATCATTTCCACACCAGTTATTTTGTGAATGAATCATAATATGGTAATCTATTACAATCAACATTTTTTCACTTGAGTCAACCTTTTTTCACATTAAACAATGGAAAACAATGAAGTATGATACGCAATAACTTGATAACTTGACAATCTATATCAATGATAGAGACAGAGAGAGAGAGAGAGAGAGAGAAAGAGAGAGAGAGAGAAATGGGGTTTAATGCCCACTCGACACAAAATAGATCATTTCGGGAGTAACATTTAGTTTAATTTCATTTCACACTTGCACATAGGAGTCTTTATAGTGGGAGGAAACAGGAGAAAAACTCACGAGGTTGGACAGACGACCCTACTCCTTGTCAAGTAGGACCGGGGAATCAAAACCACACCAGTTGACTCAATGACAGATCTTTTGATACAGAGCACACTAGGGGGGGTGGATGGCTAAATGGTTAGCACGTGCACGCTGTATCATAAGGTCTGTCATTGAGTCAACTGGCGTGGTTTTCGAATCCCCGGTTGTACGTGAAAAGGAGTAGGGTCACCTGTCCAACCTCGTGGATTTTCTCCGGGTCCACCCACTACTATAGACTAGGTCATTTCAGGACTAACATATGGTTTAATTTTATTTCAATAATTCAATTGCGCGTAAGGGTCTTTAGCAGTGGGAGGAAACCGGAGGACCCAGAGAAAACCCATGAGGTTGGACAGGCGACCCTACTCCTTGTCACGTATAAGCTTATGAATAAATGTCTAAATGATAATTGAATAACATTTGAAGCCAAAATAACAGGGCTGTGTATTGCGATCAAAAATTGTATTGCAATAATATAGCAATACTTCGATAAAGTCAGAGCTTATCACAAAGCACAGTTTTATTTTGAATGGTTTTATTGTTTTTACAACTTTGGTCTTGGACACTTATTGTTTACTGCAAAGCCTATAATATGACTGATTATGTGAACAAACATTTCTTTTTATATGTTTTTAAAACTTTGATCTTATCTCTGGAAATCAATTTTTTTTCTTACACGAACAGCAAAGAAGCATGGATATAGGTTTATTGAACAACTAGGTACACCTTAGCCAGCTCTGTCTGTATCCACCTTGAACGAGCTAGGATAAGATTGTAAAAATTCCAAAGGTTTTTCCCAGCCCCAGGCTGTAATTCAAATCCAAAATGTCTAACATTTTCCCCACCAAGGTCAGCTTATTGACCTCCTTATAAGGAATCAAGGAATTTATACCCACATAATCATTTAAACAGCTGAATAGAAGTAAGGAACATCTAAAAATTGAGTACTAAGGAAAATCTAAAAATTGAGTACTAAGGAAAATCTAAAAAATAAGTAGAAGTAAGGGAAATCTGTAAGTTGAGCAGAAGTAAGGACAATCTAAAAATTGAGTAGTAAGGAAAATCTACAAGTTAAGTAGAAGTAAGGAAAATCTAAAAGTTGACAGACAACAGAAAGACACAATGCCACAGACATTTTGTGGAAACCAGAGAGAGAGAGAGAGAAATTGGGTTTAAAGTCCACTCGACACAAACTAGGTCATTTCGGGACTAACACATTGTTCAACTTTATTTCACTAATTAGCTTGCCCGTAGGGGTCTTTAGCAGTGGGAGGAAACCGGAGAAAACCCACAAGGTTGGACAGGCGACCCTACTCCTTGTCAAGTACAACCGGGAATCAAAACCGCGCCAGTTGACCCAATGACAGACCTTATGATACAGCATGCACGTGCTAACTGTGGAAACCAGACAAAGATTTATGCATGTAGATGACCATGAGATACACTCGTCATCCAGTCAACTTTTTCTCCAGATTTGTCAACACATTTTATTTCTAAACTCGAAAAGTTTTTCCATTTTGTCTTCAAGGTCATGGTAACCAGGATGTATACATGTAGATAAATGTAATATGATTTGACCTTTGACCTCTTGTAGGCGGAGAATTCCAGGGACACCAGATGTTGTAAGTTTTTTGTGGAACGAAGACAGATTCCCTTCAAGGGAAAAAAAAAAAAAATGACAAGTGTCGTGTTTCAGCTTTTTAAAAACTTTTTTTCCTCGTAATAGAGAAAATAACCGGTCTGTTTCCATCTGTTTAAAATGGTGACACACAACACAAGAATGGTGGAAAGAATATTTCTATATTTAGAGAACAAAGAAATTTTATTGATAAAACATGATCTATCAGCAACACCTCAAGTTGTACTATAATTATCCAAATAAACTAGTGGGGTTTAACGGCATACTGTTCTGCACTGACTGGGCTAATGAAGATGGACATATACCTCATACAGTGTGCTATGACTGAAATTTTGCCCAGGCAGCGGTGTTACTGCCCCCATCTATTCTATTCATCACACCAGGTGACATTCAGCACACAGAGAATTATCTACTCTGAGAATAGATCTCTGCCCTCAATGACAGCCATATTAACCCTTGTCGGTGCACGTGGGGTCTCTGTGGACCCCATGCACATGTTTTATAGTGTTTTGTAATAACTACTGGGCACTGCTTTCTGAAATTTAGTGACTTTGTCTCCTATACATTTTTACACGTAGCGAAGAGTTTGGTATTCATCTGCTTCCCACATGCAGAGTTCTGTTACATGCAAATCAGGCCCAACACTTGAAGGGAACAAGGGGTCCAATTGGACCCCTAACTTACAACTCACAGTAGGGATTTTGCTAATGTTTTTGCTGCCTGATACCATATTGCGTATGCCAGAGTATTCTCTCTTTTAACATCTGCATGTTACAAATACCAAAAATTAAATGATAAATTCCAAATATTCAATGGTTTTTGTATCAAGCGTTAATTGCCATTTGACCTCTTTATCACATAGTACACAAAGTAGCAATTTTGTGAGGATTATTAAATCTTTTCCAAAATGTCACTAAAATGTTTTTGTATAATAATTTAGTTGTTTTTCAATTGTCAAATATGAATACAAATAAAAACTAAACCGCTGCCTTTTAATTCAAATATATTTGTACGCAAAAACTTTGATTTATAACTGGGGTCCATATGGACCCCTTGTTATCTGCTATGTGATTCTCACAACGTGCACCGACAAGGGTTAAAAAATAAGTATACTGTTTGTAATGCGGTTCTATACCATTTCACATTGATTAAACCATTTCAATATCAATTTAAAGATACATTATGGGAGATAAGATAAAGAGATGGCAGTTCTCATTATAATAATTAAAAACTAGATAATGTAAAGGCAATTTGCTGAAAATTTCATTCAAATTGATCCACTATGAACCGAAAACTAAGCGAATGAAATTTCTGCCTAGCCTCGGTCATCATTACTAAAGTCAGTACGATAAACAGCATAGTCTTGATTATACATTTAATCATTTAATCGAGAAGGAAAGTTATGCAGTAAATCGGCTAACAATCCACTTAAGATCGCAGGCTAGCGATGCCATCTAGAGTTGATTATGGTCTAGATAAGTTAATTAATGTCTAATTAATAATTTAGATAACATTTCAGGCCTAAAGAAAGACCAGCAATAGACATATTATTAGCTCTTGCATAATGTATGTTTAATTAAATGGAAGCGAAATAATTTGGGAAGTATACTTAGTGTTTTCCACTAAAATATCGATTAAAGAATTAAAATGTCTGTCAACTAGCTTAGTGTCTGTTCTCAAGAGAAGCTAGTTGCAGACAGACAGACAGAGTTTAGTATGATCAGCTGATTGTAATATGGGTCAAACTACTGTCCAAACACCAGTCAAAATACAATGAAAAACAGTCCAAATAATTTATTAGTGGCAATAAACCCAGGCCACCGGTGAGAAATGGACGATATTATATTAAATTGTCCAATTTGTACGATTAAGATCAAACGTTGTAGCAGCAATAGTCTGGTCTGATTCCTGTAACTATATATGATTTATGGGACAGTAATTCCTATTAGATTTGATCATTATGAATAATGTTTTATTACCCAGAATATTAGATCCATTGATTGTAGTTCAAATATATTAAAGAACAACAGATACCCTTTGGTCCAAAAAAAATAATTCAGATTTCTCTTGTGCATAAGACCTGGGTCCTGTTTCTTGAAATCTTAACTAAAGATAAAATCCAAATTTTAGTAGATACTTCCATTTGGATTGGCTAAGCACTAAAATCAATCTAATATCATCCAATCAAATTACTAAAATTTGGATTTTATCTTATTTAAAATTTCGTGAAACAGGCCCCAGTTACCTGGAATCGCTACAGACTACCTGGAATTGCTACAGAATACCTGGAATCACTACCTGAAATCACCACAGACTACCTGAAATCGCTACGGACTACCTGAAATCGCTACGGACTCGCTACGGACTACCTGAAATCGCTACGGACTACCTGAAATCACTACAGACTACCCGGAATCACTACAGAATATCTGGAATCACAACAGAATACCTGGAATCATTTCAAACTAATGTCACCAATCTCGATCACGGCTTTATCCAAGATCAAATTGACTCAAACTGATTATTTAACATTTTATTAAGAAAAGAATTAGATTATCTCTTGGCTTGGAATTAATCAGATTAAAACAGATTTTACCAAACACTTATAGGTGGGGCTAGGTTAGTTTATATTGTCTAAAAGAGTAGGCAGAATGTTGCAAAAAGTTTCAATTGTTGATCAAGTGAGAGAGAGAGAAATGGGGTTTAACGTCCACTTGACACAAACTAGGTCATTTCGGGACTAACATATGGTTTAATTTTTTTCATTTCAATAATTTGCTTGCGCGTAGGGGTCTTTAGCAGTGGGAGGAAACCGGAGGACCCGGAGAAAACCCAAGAGGTTGGCCAGGCAACCCTACTCCTTGTCATGTACAACAGGGGAATCGAAACCCCGCCAGTTGACTCAATGACAGTCAGACAGACCGTATGATACAGCGCGCGCGTGTTAACCATTCGGCCATCCACCCCCCCCCCTGTTGATCAAGTCTTAGTATTCATCGCATTGTTTTGTTGTTTCCTCACTTATTTCTTTTATATATCCATATTTATTTATGTATCTAGAAGAGAGGTCATATTGGCTATGCCTGTTTCTTAATACCATTCAATATTGTTTAAAAAAACAAATTCATGATGTTTTTGTAACTTGTGAATGGAATTGAACCATATTTGGACTGATATTTCTTTTAGAGATTTGACTTTGTACAATATTGCAGTTTGCAGAGATTCCCAATTAAATGAAATATTCAGTCGTTTATAGCAACATTTAAATTAAGTTTTATGATATGTCAACGCAGTAAGTCAATAAACCATGACAATAGTACTGTTTTAATCGCTATGACAATTGTAATAGATTAATAAACCAAGACAACTGTAATGTGTTACCTCTATATGGCAACTGCAATAGGTTGATAAACTATGACAATGTACTGCATTAACCTCTATATGACCACTGCAATAGGTCAATAAATCATGACAACCATACTGCATTAACCTCTATATGACAACTGCAAAAGGTCAATAAACCATGACAACCATACTGCATTAACCTCTATGACTACTGCAATAGGTCAATAAACTATGATAAACTCTATGACAACTGCAAAAGGTCAAACCATGACAACCGTACTGCATTAACCTCTATGACTACTGCAATAGGTCAATAAACTATGATAAACTCTATGACAACTGCAATAGGTCAATAAACCATGACAACCATACTGCATTAACCTCCATGACAACTGCATGGCAACCTTTTCTCATAAAGCAATATTGTAATTATTTTTTTTTTATCAAGAGGACTATTTATGTATTTATTAATGTCAACCAAATCAGATGAAACCTGCTGCTATTATTGCAATATTTTAAATAGTCAATCGAGTGTGATTTCACATCAATAAGACAGGCTCTTTAAGGTGTAATGTATCAAATGAAATTCCTGTATTTTGACATCATGGTATAACTACTAAAGGTCAATGTGTTAATACCTGTCATAAATATCACATATAAATATACTCTATAACCTTTGTATTATACATAGCTTTCATAATATACTGCACACTAGACACTTTCATAACTGAATCATAACTAGGTAATACTTGATATCAATGAAATGGGATTTAACGTCCTACTGTTCTGCACTGATTGGGCAAATGAAGACAGCCATATGCCATATAGTGTGCTATAATGATGGAAATTTTGGCCGGACAACGGCACTACGGACAACTGTCAAAGTTTCTTTTACGCGCATGCCAATGTGTACATTAGACCAGTTTTTTGTTGCATCCTAATGACTATACATTGTCTCTTGCCAGGTCCTTTGCGAATTATTGAAATAAGATTGAACCATGCATTAGTCTCGAAATGACCTAGTTTGTGTCGAGTGGACGGTAAACCCCATTTCTCTCTCTGAGTTAGAGACTATTCTCCTTTAACATCTCTTGTCCAGTCATCCAAACTGCAACAATGTGTTGAGTTGAGAAGTAAACAAAGTTTAATAGTATACAATATAAATACCATACGTATATACACACGAGACACACCCACCCTTATACCCTCACTGGTCACACCCACCTAGTTCATGATAACTACATACAAAATACATTTAACTCAGTCCAAAAGATCAGCCTAGAAATAACGTAAATGGAGAAAGTACCAGGTTCGGAAATGGATAAAATATGTTGTCACAGTTGAAATATGTTAAAATTGCTTTCTGTTTTACTTGTACCAACTAAACTAAAAACATTCAAATATTTTATAAATTATTTCATAAAACTTTTTTGGAGAAAATGAAAGAAGAAAAAGTGCCGAGTCTGCGAAAAAATAAATTGATAAGAAATATGAAAACCTTTTCTGAGAGCTAAAATTAACTGTAAGAGTTCAGAGGTTTACTAAATAAATATGTTTTGAATATTTCCAGCACAAACAAACATAACCATATTATGTGGGCAGATTCACAAAATAAATTTAAACAAAAATAATTTTTAAAGCCTAGCTGCTCAAGGAGACTAATATTAATAATGTTTTTCCTTATTTAAATTTTAAAAAAATAGGTTGCCAGCCAATGAAACATATGCAACACCGCAGCAATGCCATCAGAGCAGTTCATAAAGGTTGTCACATATGTATTCTTTTTGTGAAATGAAATAACTTATCAAGAAAGATAACTCTGACAGAAAATATCAATAGGCTTCTTCTTTTAAAGAACATGAACAATATGTATCAATTTCCAGTCAATCTGATGAAAAGAAATTGTGGACTAAAATAATAAAACTAATGACAAATCAAACTAAAATAATAAAATAAACCGCAAATCTTACCTTAAAATGTGTGAGCAGTTCATCTCGATCAAAACTGTTAAAATTACAACATTTACATTTATGAATAGCTTCTGTATGCGTTCCGATATGTTCCTGAAACTGTTGAGGATAATATGCTTGGAAATCACACTTCGGACATTTCAATTTTTCTAATTCACTTTCCGAGGCCTTTAAACCTGAAATAAGACAAAAAGTAGATTTGTCAAGACAAACTGAATATCAATTCCTCTCGCCAGATGTTCATCAATTTCTAAATCATATACAAAGTAATAAATCTAAAATGTTGAAATTCAATAGGCTGCTTCTTCGTTCTACTAATTCAAATTAATGCATTTAAATTTAATATTGATTGGATACCGGTAATAACATTTGTCATTAGAGTGTTCACAACGTTCAACAAAGTAAATGCATATAAACTAAATACAGATCGGATGACAACTTTAGTCAGTAGAGCATCCACAAGGTTCCACAAAGTTAAAAAAAGGGCCATAACTCTAGACGTGATCAACGGAAATTGTTAAAATTCAATAGGCTTTTACAATTAAAAAAAAATCAGATAATAAATGTAGATTGTAGAGTGTTCACAAAAAATTGTGGATCACAGGCGGACCTACAGCAAAATGAAATGACATGAAATTAATTGAAATGAAATGGGGTTTAACATCCTACTTTTCTGCTCCTATGCTGGGTTAATGAAGACGGGCATACGCCATACAGTGTGCTATGAGGGAAATTTTGCCCGGGCAGCGGCACTATTGCCTACTCATATATCGAATTCCAACTGCCAAGGGATCTTTTACGTGCATTCCAATGTATACACAGGACCTCGGTTTTTCGTCTCATCCGAAGGACTAGACAGCTGTCCTTGTCAGGATCTCCGTCCTGCATCACTGACAAGGGGGAACCACGCCGGAAAATCTGGATGAACTTTCTCGGCTAATGACCTACAGCAATATACAACCACATTTAATGAAGTTGTAAAGCCATTTAAACTTTAAGATGGTATGATTTCTACCACACATTAAGCATCTAATTAAGTGCAAGAACAGTGGTCATGTGTTAGAACGGTTTATAATAATTACTTACTATGAGACACAAAGAAGGTATTGAAATTACACTGACACTTTCCTATAGTCATTTCAAGACTAACAAGTACTGTTTTTAATTCAGGAATGATATCAGATGAGGAAACTATTAAAGATGTATTATGTAAGAGCTGTAACTCTTTTAAAGATGGCCAAGATTCGAATGGACTAGAATACCCACAAGATTTACAAATTTAACAATAAAATGGATACTCAAGATTTATATTATGTAAGAGATGTAACTCCTTTAAAAATATATTATGTAAGAGATGTAACTCCTTTAAAGAAGGCAGAGATTCGAATGGACTAGAATACCTCCACAATTTACAAATTTAACAATAAAATGGATAATCAAGACTAAGTCTCGTTTGTCCAGTTCCATTGCTATGATAATAAACAATCTACCCTACATCTCCCAACTTCTCTCAGAATAAAGTAATGACATTTTCAATTATATTCATTTTACGTTATCTGTTTTTGAACTATTATATCAAGATCGGCCAGCTCTTTATCTAAATCTTACATAATGTAGCAGTAAGTCTAGGTAAATGAGTTTGTGCACCCGGTAAGCCTCGCTTTCCAGGTTTGCTTCTTCGCTGCATTTCGGCCGGTTACAGGGAAATATCAATGGTAAATTGGATGAAACAGAGACACCCCCTGCAAAACCTGGTCTATGGTGACCATATCCTATCTCTATATTGTCTGCATGGTGCCAAATGAAATGAAATGGGGTTTAACGTCCTACAGTTCTGCTCCTATACTGGGCTAATGAAGACGGGCATACGCCATACAATGTGCTATGAGGGAAATTTTGCCCGGGCAGCGGCACTATTGCCTACTCTTATATCGAATTCCAACTGCCAGGGAATCTTTTACGTGCATTCCAATATATACACGGGACCTCGGTTTTTCTTCTCCTTGTGAGGCCCTTCATCCTGCATCACTAACAAGGGGAAATCACGCCGGAAAATCTGGATTAACTTTCTTGGCCAATGCAGGGATCGAACACCTGACCTCCAGGCTAGCGAGCCAGCGTCTTATCCACTTAGGCACGTGATCAACTGCTAGGTGCCAAATGTTGAAAAAGTTTCAAATTATATCTTGGTAATTTTTGGACTGATGTACCTTTTAGAGATTCAACTTTCACAATATTGTAGTTTCCAACAGAAAGAGAGAAATGGGGTTTAATGTCCACTTGACACAACTAGGTCATTATGGGACTAACATATGGTTTAATTTTATTTTAATAATTCGTTTGCACATAGGGGTCTTTAGCAATGGGAGGAAACCGGAGGACACAGAGAAAATCCACAAGGTTGGACAGGCGACCCTACTCTTTGTCACGTACAACCCGGGAATCGAAACCCCGCCAGTCGACTCAACAACAGACCTAATGATACAGCGTGCACGTGCTAACAATTCGGCCATCCACCACCCCCCTCCCCCATTAACAATGTAGTTTTGAGCCAGTAAAATTATCAATGTACAGCTCTTAACAGCCTTATCCACTGTCACGCATCTGTTTACCATTTTTTTTAAATGCATAGATTTTTTTTTAGTAGAGGAAAGAAGGAAATCAAGTCACTCAGTGCTCCGTTTTAAAACATAATTATTATAATTGCCATACATATAGTGTCAAAACTAATGTTTTCTTAAAAATAATCTTCATTAAAAAACCATTGCTGTGTGTGCTTGTACGAGCAGCAAACAGCGCAGTGTTAAGTGTATTAATATCGTACACACCACATCTGAGTCGAACATTTGAAGTAATAGAAAGCAGACGCAGAGTTGTTTTTTTTTAAAATAACAAACAGCTGGTTTAGCAGATACAAATAAATACATGTAGAAACTTTTTAAACAGACATAGCCTTAATATAATGGATAAATGTCTTTGACTTGGGAAATCTATTCAGTGGTGAGCACCCGCACCAGTTTCATCAGAGTCGTCAGGAATAAGTCATTGGTCCAGATTTAATTCAGAAGTGTGGTCATCCTTTGATTTTGGAAATCTACATAGCAGTGGAAGCTGCAGGGCTCTGAGTAAGGCCTCCTGTGTTCGATCCCTGCGTTGGCCGAGAAACTTCATCTGGAGTTCTCCAATGTAGTTACAGGATAGGGAGCAGGATGGAGGACCTGGCAAGGACCAATGCAAGAAAGAAAAATCACTGAATATTATGCCCGATTTTCACATGTCCGGGGAGGAAACCAGAGGACCTGGAAAAATTCCACAATCTTGGACAGGTGAACCTTCTCCATGTCACGTACAAGCTGGGAATCAAAACCACACTGCTTGACTCAATGACAGGCCTTATGATTTCACACGCACGCGTTAAACCACTAGACCACCCAACCCTCGATGAGAAGTAAGCGGCAGTGCTAAGCCCCCTAAAATACACAGCTTAAGGAAGTCCCTTGTTTATTAAACATACCCGAGGCTACAACCTGACCCACTGACTGAGATCTAGATGAATCGTTGAGTCGGATTAATAATCAGGCACAGACACTTGAAATTCCTCAACCACCATAAAAAAAACACCCAGCTATATATAATAAACAGATATAATGTCACTTGAGACATGATGAGAGGGACTACTTCCTTTTCTTTGTCAAACACAGTCACTACGGGGTAATAGAAATAACTTGTCTTAGTGCAAAGTGCAACTTGGCCTTGAAGAACCGACAGAACATTGAATTTTATGTGGCCAATTTCTGATTCCCAGCATCTAAATTATTAAATTTTAACCATTTATAACCAATTTAGAAATTTCAAACAAACTCCCTCTCCCCCACCAGTCACTTCCTTTATACATTAAGAGGTTAATATTTATTTTTTTTATATTATAAATGATTGGTGTCACTTGTTGAAACCGAGAAAAGTTATGTTAAAAAAGTTTTGGAGAGAAAGGGAGAGAGAGAGAGAGAGAGAGAGAGAGAAAGAGAGGGAGAGAGAGAAAGAGAGAGAAATTGGGTTTAATGCCATATCAACACAAACTAGGTCAATTTGGGACTAACATGGTTCAATTTTATTTCAATAAATTGCATGCGTGTAAGGGGTCTTTAGCAGTGGGAGGTAACCGAAGGACCAGGAGAAAACCCACGAGGTTGGACAGGCGAGTCTACTCCTTGTCATGTACAACCAGGGAATCGAAACCATGTCAGTTGACTCAATGACAGATCTAATGATTCAGAACGCACACGTCTGAATATCAGACTTTACGATACAATCCGCATGCGCTAACCATTCGGCCTGGAGAGAAAGGGTCTGAAATATTGTATATTATCTTTATTACAGGCAGGCAACTTCACCTACGCTCTATCGCAAACAATTAGGTCAGAACAAGGGGAGGGGTATATCAACTGGGAGGTAGGGGTGGGGAGGTGTATAGTGGTTGACTATCAACTGGGAGGTAGGGGTGGGGAGCACACTGATCAGCAGTGAATTTTCGCTAGGCCGCTACAATCACTGATAAGGATGACATCGATGTTCCATTCTGCCCGAACTAGAACTTCTTATGTAAACAATGCACGCGCCATTGAGCCAATGATTGACGCCGCGTGATGAGACGTCACATGTTAAAGGTAATCATTTTTTACAGAGATATTAGAAGACTTTCGTAATCCTCTGTAAAACAGATTGGGTGGGGAGATCTACAGTGGTTGACTATCGACTGGAATATCTATGTTTGAATTCTGCTGTGGAATTTTTTCGAATCGCCAGTGATCTCATTCCTGTCTACTCAAATAACCTCTGGGTCCATCCATTCCATGGGGTATTCACATGTTCAAGTTATCTGCCCATAATCGTAGCTTGATTCTATAAACCAATCAAACCTGTCTTAGCCTCATTGTTTACGTTCACAACAATGTTTGCTCGATTTTGAGAAAGTTTGCAACAAGATGGGAGTTACTTCCTTCACCAACTTCCTTTGTATTTAACAAATTTTTTTACTGGTCAATAAAAAAGAGCACAATCATTAAGGGCAGATAATTTGAATATGTGTCTCCCCCTTGGATGAACCCAGAAGTTAGTGGAGTGAGATGGAGAGAGAGAGAGAGAGAAATGGGGTTTAACCTCCACTCGCTTGACACAA